GCCCCCGGTGGTGACAACGAATGTGAGTAAAAAAATGTTGTTGTTATTTCTGCACTATACCGTTGCGATGTCGAAATAAACGGTTATGTGCGCGATGAAAACAGTCTTAAAATTAGCCTGTTAATTTCCAGTAGTATAAATATGATGACAACTATTTGAAAGCAACATTTCATAACGATAGTCGCGCTCACGTTGAAAAAATTTCCGAATTGCATAGCGATTCGATTCACAGTAAAGTTGGAGGTGATAATAGTGGAGTTTCATCCGTTTTACGTGAAATGGCGTGATACTCTGCGAAGTGTGTTTTTCAGTAGTGTTTTTCATATCACTAGGGTGGAACTCTAGTAGTAGATTACGATGAAAGTGAATGTGATAGTATTAGCGATTCGCATTAACCGAATATGACGATTAAGTATAATCGCAAATAAGCATTAGCGATTAACCGAGACTTCGCTAGTAGCGAAGTTTCGGTTAATACCGTAAATCTCAACAGCTCATACCAGCAGTGTATTGCAATGCTGATGAATGTGTGGTATTGAGTCGTTCATAACATCAAACACTAGATGCGTTTCTCAACGAGTTAAAAACAGCATTGGAGTTTCTTCACCCTAGTGATATGAGAAACACTAGTGAAAACATATTTCACGACTATTGCAAGGCGCAAATAGCGCGTTTTTCACGGAGTTTTACGACGCCACTTCACGTAAAACGGGTGAAACTCCATTATATAGCCCTTACCGTTTCTCAGAAACTTCAATTCGCATTGAAACTTGATTCACGATGATGATGACAGTAGTGGATTGTATGCCATAGTCGCGGTTTTACCATAGAAACATATTATGTGTGTAATACTGAGGTATACATGTTGTTGAATTTCTCGCCGTATTAAACACTAGATGTGATTCTTTCATCACAGGTCAGGCGGACCTCCGACGTGAATCGAACAGTTAGGCAGGCGAAAGTCGCATTGAAAAATCGTCGACGTCGGAAAAGAAAAATCGAGTAAAAAATTTACCAATTCGTCACTGTATTAACTCCTTAGTGCTCGTACGGTCGAGCGCTTCTTGATAGAGCCTTCCCCACGTGAGGATGAAGATGAAATTGCAACAACGTAGGGCATCTATCACAACCTGTATGCGGCACTGTGAGAAGGCTCAGGCCTGGCTCGGATGATCATGGAAACGCGTCGACATCACCAGCGATTCCCTCGAGAGCTCGAACTTGTTGTGGTTCGTTGAGTAGAGGTCTTCACTCTCAAAACGACTGCATGCCGTGGCTACCTATTCTGTAGCGATGAACTCATAATGGTGACAATAAAGATTCGTTTTAGGTCGCCTGAAAGGAAGTGGTATATTCGAGGATGGATTCCTCTGATTTTCACAGCTCTGGTGAGTACCGTTGTGTTGGAATATATGTTGGCTTTCCCTCAACTGAGCTCAAGAGTTTCCTCACTGATTATAGAATTGCCCAAAAAACAGCAGAAATTTTCTGAGAATTTTCATATTTTCGGTAACACATTTAATTGATTAGTTGCATATTTTCTCACACGGATGTCGCCGAACTGCCCTTGCCCTCTTTTGAGGGGTAGTGGAATATATTATGAACAGCGACAGAAAATCAGAGAACTCAGTTGAATATGAGAAAATACGCACATGGTGAACTACATTTGTTGTTGAAAATATGAGGAAGCTCTTGTCGGTTTTTGAAAACTTCTGTCCGAAGTTTTGTAAAGATTAGTTTATTGGAGTTTCATCGATTTAGCGCTAAGTGACGTGATATCACAGCGCTAAATTATAAGAAGTATATGTTTCCATGATCGATGACATTATTGTTTTCCGCGAACGCGAACGCATTCAAACGCAACTTGGCAATCACAAGACTACTCAGCGATGACGATTGTGTGTGCGTCTGGTATTGATGAGTGTTGCTCTCAAATGTATCATGGGATACGCTATTTAACCGTTTGATTTGATTTTATTTGATTTATTGTTTTTTGCGAAGAAAAATGTGAAATAATTTTTCACTAGTGTTTTTCATATCTCGGGTAAAACTTCATCGAAGTTAATCTAGTATTAGTTGTTATTGTATAATATCAACAGAGAAGGAAAATAGAAAAAATGGGTGATGCATGAGAAAGTACGCGCATGGCCATCTATATGCATCGGTGAGAATATGAAAATTACGGAAAAATTTGGGAAAATTCTCGTCGGTTTCTGAACTTTTCCTCCCGAAATCTTATATGAACTTCTGCAGTAACTGATATAAGGCTGAGTAAAACCAATACATGTTGAATCAATCATCGATTTGTTTATTTTTTTTCAGATGTACACTGCAACGTTAGAGACGTTTAGGTTATGTTTTCTCACAGTTGGCGATTCGAGAATTTTCTGGGAGGTCAGTTCACTTCGACTCAACGACGCATTTAGCTTTGAGAAATAACGTCATCAGGGTTTGGGGAAAATGATTTTCCTAATGTGATCACATTTACATAATGAAAGTAGACAATAAAAAGGCTAAAACTGTTGACCCTTCGTGAGCTGATGCGCATCGATGCGAGTCTGACTAAGCCGTGCCGTCGTAGTAGGCGTTGGATCTTAAACTCACATACACATTTACATGGGAAACTGATTGAAGAACGTGACAAATTCAAAATGAGTTCTGCCTGAGGAACAGTGGAGTTTCACCCTATTCATAGGAAAAACACTAGTGAAAAACACATTCCACTACTACTGCATATCGCCGCGAAAATCGCGTTTTGCACCTTCACGTAAAACGGGTGAAACTCCATTGTAGGTTCCTGGATGATTCTCTGATTAGATTCGGCCAGCGTTCATCCCCTAGTTGTGCAGGTCATCACATTGTTGGTTGATATTATTTTTATCGTGGATTTACTTATCAATTTTCGACTGATGTACCAGCGATCTGGTGATGGCATGCTGGAGCAACGTGGCAAGTGAGGAAAGTCTCTGTTGGGGTTTTCAACACTGTGGGGAAGCATTGAAGTTTCAACCGTTTCTCGTGAAGTGGTGTAAAACTCGGTGAAAAATGCGAAATTCGCGGTGATATGCAGTAGTCGTAAAATGCGTTTTTCATATCACGGGTGGAACTCCAGTGTGTATGACAAATTCGTGTTGCTCACTGGAGTTTCACCCGTTTTACGTGAAGTGGCGTAATACTCTGCGAAAAATGCGATACTGGCGCTATGCAGTAGTCGTGAAATATATTTTTCACAAGTGAATTTTATATCACTAGGGCGAAACTCTGCTGAACTAAACTGAATGCGACTACTATATTTTTACTCTCAAATACAACGAGTGAAAAAAAGAATTTAAAAAATGAAATTAACCCACGAAATTGAACTTTGCTTTCTGCAAATTTGAGTTTGCATTCTGTTTGAGACTTTTTTCGTTTTACGAAAAAATAATTTAATTTTTCTCTCAATTCTGTCGTTGACTTGAAATTGGGAAATTGTGTTGAAGGACAACTTTGTTATTTCTCTCCGTTTGAAAACCGAAAATTTTATGATAACATAATATTATGATTTTATGCTATATGACGTGGTTTATATATGTGATTGATTTTCGAGCATTGTAGTGTGGGAAATTACGGACATGATCAACTACATTTGTCGGTGACAATATGATTAAAATTTTGGTAAATTCTTGTTGGTTTTTCGAACAATTCTACCATAATTCGTATATAAAAACTCCTGAGCTCAGCTGAGGAAAGTGAACATATGTACTCCAACAGTGTAACATTGGAGTTTCACCCGTGATATGAAAAACAGTAGTGAAAAACATATTTCACGACTACTACAGGAATCCGCGAATATCGCGTTTTTCACCGAGTTTTACGACGCCACTTCACGTAAAACGGGTCGTGAAACTCCATTGTATTGATTATAGTGTCTTTGATGATATTGTTATGGGATTAAAATTTGACTCGTATTGTTATTGTCATACACGCGCAGCCCGACTTGGTTTTTTTTCACAATGTTACTCATGAACGATGATATTTCCCTTTCCCCCTTAGTCGTATATTTTACCAATTTCAACGAGTATTGATATTTTCAAAATACATATGAATGGATTTTGACTTGGGTTTTTTTTCTCGCTAATAAGCGATATTATTTCCTTTTCCCCTTAGTCGTATATTTTACCAATTCTAACGAGTATTGATAATAAGCGAAATTATTTCCTTTTCTTCTTAGTCGTATATTCTACCATTATCTCTGTTCCTGGTTTATATTCGATTTATTGGCCTGCTTACCCCTGATAGCAACTACTGTGCCTGACTTCAACACGGTAGTGGCATCCATGTTGAACTACTAGTTACTGTCGTGTGAGCTCAGGAGAGTACAAGTTTCAACGCAATCCGTCTCCTACGTCTGTTACGGTTAATTCGACTTTTTAAAGTGCTGCAACATCGTGCTCTCCTGAGCGGCGTTTTTCATAGGTAAACTCGGAAACACACCAAAGAGTCAATGAGTTATTCTTGGACAGGTTTTTGAGTGAAGCCTGGGCGGAGTTCGCCCTTTTTGGTGTTTTCCTCGCGACGGCTATTCACGTCATAGCTTGTATATGGTAGGGGTGACACGGTCCTTATTATCGTATTGATGTATCACCACTAACTGCAGAATTCCCAGATCAAATTTACCATTTTTTGAAAAAAAAATATTTTCTAAGCTTTTTACCGACTGGTGGGGTAATAAATTATCGAAAATTTTCATGGAATATCTGAACTTTTCGAAAACAATCGAACTTCGATCAATGACGTTAGTTT